GGTAGGGGGTATAAGTGTGAGCATGGTGTGAGAGAGGGAAATACCAATTGTTTTCCAGAAGTCTTGCTTTACAATACAGCCTCTTTCCCAGACTGTCTCCCCAGAGCTTTGCAACACGGCTGAGGCAAGGGTGCAGTGTGGATGCTTGTATTGCAGCCTGGGTGAGGGTGCCTCCCCAGTGCAGCCCCAGATCCTGTCCCCGTGTGTTGTTGTGACAGGGCAGGGGAGTCGCAATCACCCCTTGGCCAGGAGAGGAAACAGGGTCTTGGATGCACTGCTCAGCTCTGGGGCCTGCTCGCAGATCCATGGGTGTTTTTCCGAGCATTTTACACTCACCATTTTCCCAGCACTTGATAGTCCGCAATTTGGCAATTTTTTGTATCTCGAAGAGAAGACACATTTTAGATGAGCAGGGACAGCGTCCCCACTGTGGCTGCCTGTTCCCACAGGCTCCAGTACATCTGGGGCAGGCAGGGGTGCCTCACACTGGGACCAGTCTTAGAAAGAGCCATGTTCCCCTTGCTCCACCACCGGCATCCTCCCTCCTTACTGTGCATGCATGGCACCATGCCATGCGCTGGGACTGTGATGCCTGGGGGTCAAGTGTGCCTGGCTTCCCCCCCTTTCCACAGGCCATTAAACCCTTTGTGGTGGAGAGCCAGTCCAGAGGGGCAGACCCGCTCTCAGCTCCTCTGCTACGCTCGCAGTCTGCCCTCTGCCCTCCGCTCCCATCAGATGCTGTGCCCTCCCCCAGTGTGGCCATATCCTTGGGGAAGGAGAGCCAAGGGTGATTCTTCCCCAGCACAGCTTGGGGAGCATCCTGGGGTGAAACAGGAGTGGTGACCCCGGTTCATGGGGACACTTCTGACCATGGAGGTTTTTAAGGTTTGCCCTGCTCTATCACTGGTCATAGTCCTATCGTGAGTAGGAGGGTGGAATAGAGACCCAATAGGAACCTTCCCACCAACCCTTCTGGGTCGGGGTGAACTGGATATGGCCTCAAAGGTGGGACTGCTACACTTACATGTCAAAGAACTCACTGTCCAGCCACACTACTTGCTTCTTCCAACCAAAAAGTTTCACACCGATCCAGTAGTGGGCATCCACCGCCGTCATAAAATGCTGGGGGGAGAGAAGCTGCTAATCACTTACCCCATTGCCCTGCGCCCACCTGGGGGCCCAGGAGCACCAGGGCTCAGCCCTGCTCCTGCTCGGCCCCTGGCCAGGATGGGGCTCGGGGCAGCAGGCAGCGGGGCCACCCCAGCACCAGCCTGCAGCTCTGCGGTCCCACGGCCACCAAGCGCCGCGCGGGCTCTGCCCCACGCCTGCTGCTGCCTCTCGCCCCCCAGGGCTCTGCGTGGCCCCAGCAATCGCCACCACCCCCCAAGGG